CTTTATTACCTTTACTACGTGCTGAAAGCTCACAAATCTCCTCCAGCTCTTTGTAGCATTCTTGGAGTAACAACACATAACAGTGTTTGATAGAGCTCGATATTTTTCTTGCGAAGAGTAGAGATCACTCCTTGCAAAGCAGCGCTTAGATACAACGTAGTACTCGTTGTGCTAGCCAATGGTTTGTGACGAGGCCGTTCATAAATAGTGCGAATTGTTGGGCGAGGGCGAGCGCGCGGGGGAACAACAGGTTGGTGTTTGACGGTGCTGGATTGTTCATAGTGCTGATGAAAGTGGCGATTGACCTGAAAAACAATTCATCGTCTCTTCGTGGCCTCTATCGTCGCACTGTTGATTTACCACAATCTACACCTACCTTCCTTGTGACCGCATTCTGAATAATGTGGTAAAAGATGTTGATGAAACCCATGCTTATGCCCTTTGGCATACTTGCACGCATTCGTGTTGCAGTGCCCTGAACATGACTATTCGAGGACCTCATTGTGGCCAACGGACAACCGATTCAGGCCCGGACACCCTTTATGTTTCTCAGATTCTCCAACATCTTCGCTTTGTTGTACGAAACACTTTTTTGTGCACTAGAGATGGCACACTTCAGAAGCAAATTATCGGTATTCCGATGGGAATAAATGCTGGCCCAAAAATTTCTAATCTGACAGTGAATTGGGATGAAGCGCGCTTTGTTGAAGACATTCGTCAACACGATCTTCAAGCCGCTTAGCGATACGCCTTCACTTATCGCCTCATTGATGGGGGCAATTACCTCCTCCTCCAGAGGACTATGGGCTTGAGTGGAAGGAAAACTACAACGAAAGATGGCTGGTGTACTTTTTTAGGTATGCATGATGCATCTAAGGGTCTATTCTGATGGCTCGCTTTGCATGAGCGTGTTTGATAAAGCGGCTGCTTGGGATTTTCCTGTCATTCGTTATCCAAGTGTGACCTCCAACATCCCTTCCCATCAACTGGCGAGTGTGTACACTGGACAATTTACCATATTCGAACAAAACACTTACTCGTTGCATGCTTTCTCGTGGGCATTCCCCACCAAACCTTGCTAAATGGTGGGCCTGCTACATGCGCCCCCGCCACCGTCGCTATCCTATGCATGTGATGCGTCTCTCTCAGTGGTTCCGACGCATGCTGCGATGGTCCCTGTATCATCCACTTTCTTCTTTGCCCCTGCGACACTCTTGTCCTGCTCCTGCTTGCTCATCTGTTGCTACTGCAGTTTCCACTGCTGCAGTTTCGGCTCCTGCAGCTTCGACTGCTCCAATTTCCACTGCTGCAGTTTCTACAGCTCCGGTTTTCACTCCAGCAGTTTCTGTTACAACAGGTCCCATTGCTGCAGTAATTTCTGACGCTGCAGTTTCATTTGCTGCGGTTTCCACTGCTGCAGTTTCCACCGCTACACTTTCTATAGCTCCGACTTTCACTCTGGCAGTTTCTGCTACTTCAGTTTCCACTACTGCAGTTCTCACTACAGCTTCCCGTGCTGCAGTCCCCTGTACTATACTTTTTGCTGCTACAGCTTCCTCTACCGCAGCTCCAGCGCAAAGAACGTCACAGTCTCTCCGACACTCGAAATGCTGCCCAATTCGCCTCCCTTTCATCTCTTTCTGTGCTTGTCCACGGACGACTGCGTTCTTCCTCGCCACCCCCATCTCCTCCACGATCTCGCTTGCGAACAGACTCTCTGGTTTCCATTGTTCCCATTGTTCCACCTTCGTTGCCAGGGACATGTTCATCTTCTATTTGCAACACCACTACTCCCCTTATTGTGTATCATCGACAACAACCACGGCATCGTCACTTGTCCGGGGATCAGCAGTCTGTTTCGTTGTCTGGCCGAATTGTCTCTGTGCCTCCTCCACAGGTTGTTGTGGTTCCTTTGTTCCAAATGGCAATAGCCACTCCTATGCCTCCGGCGGACAGTCCAGCTGCCTGCAGGAAGCCAGGACACCATGTCTTATGCCCTTCAGCGTTACACGTTCCACCTGTGCAACAGGATGTGGTCCCTGCCCAGAGTACACTCCTGATTCCCAGGACAGTCCCTCCTCAGGATGCGGCCCCAAACGTTGAGGGATTGGAACATGATCTGCCCGGATTGCAGTTAACCCCACAAGGCGTAGACCATATGGGGGATTTGCAAATGGCTGACCAGCATCATTTCCACGAACCACAAACTTGTGCCCCTCCACGCGCAGACCACGTGGGCGATCTATAAATGATTGACCAGCAAACAACCAAAGACATTTTGGGCTTGCAACAGCAGCTGGGTGATCTGCGAATCATTGGCCAGCATCTGGCACAGCAGCCTGAGACCCTCACCACTTTCTGTGGTCTGACCGCGACTAATATATGTCTTCGCATTCTCCACCGCCCATTTTATACAACATCGCCCTTCATCTTGATGCTGATCTCCCCCACGTACCGCTAGAGGATTGTAATTATACCAGGGAAAGAGGCTTTACCATTGCTATCCTACAAGGCAATGAGGGACCGCAAACTTGAACTACGCAATGCTCGAGCGGGTGAGTGGTTTAATCCTCCATCCCACATCTCTGCCTGCATTGTGCTCGGACCTGGCCCATTTAATGGCCATTGTACGCATGCCTCTGACCACTGGGAGTTGTGGGACAATGGCATCCATCATGGTCCATGCCATGACTGATGTTACTGATTTCTTACATAATGATGCTGTTTTCTTGCCTCACCAAACTGTCCCCAATCTCTTTTATGTCAACGATCGTCATTCCGCTGGCCCCGTGCTCCAGCAGGACAGTGTACCAACACTCTGCAACCTTTTCCTTTGCATAGCTACAGACGCTGTTACACTCGGCTGTAGCCGCCATCTGCTCTGTCGCAATCACTACAATCAGATGGTTTTTGCATCCATGTGTGTAGAGGACTGTCCCTCCGTTCCTGACTGCAGGCACCCTCCGCATCCGGACACTGTATGTCCATTTTGCGGCCATGGGCGCTATACTCAATGCATGGTCTTTTGTGGTGACTGTTCTTCCTTCATTTTGGCCTGCAATCGACATGCCATTTGTCGGGAGTGTATGGCGGGCATGCTCAATGCCACCTGTCGTGGCAATTGTTGCACTGAGAATTCTCAGCTAGGTCTTCCATGTGTTCATCCACCTCATGCTCACGATGTATGTCCTCTCTGTCGTCAAGGACAGACTCATTCTTGAGCCTTTTCTTATCCTCTTTTGCCTTGATCTTCATTCCACACTCCACACTCCGTGCTTTCCCTCACTTTCCCTTTATTGTTCTTTGTTTGTCTGCTCTCCATCTCTCCTCCCTGTGTTTATCCCCTCCCCCTTCACTCTGCCTCTTTCTCGCAGCGTACAAGTGGGCTGTTATGGTACATGGGGATGGGGCCACCTCGCGCTCAACTTCATCAATCTAGCAAGCCTTGTACGTGAGAGGCACGGTGGAGGGGGTTAAACGAAGAATGAGAAAAATGAATGGTTTCAGTGTGCCCTTCATGTTTGTCTTGTTTTGTATTTTTTTTATTCTGCCGTTTGTTTCGCGAAGTGTGCTCTTTTAGTTCATAGTTATGAGACAATATATATGCAGCCTCCTTATGAGTCGGTGAAACTCCAACGAAACGGTTTGTCACAGCCCCTCGTTTGTTGTCCTCTTCTCTTCTCCCTCTCTGCCTACGGTTTACCTGGCAGCTCGGTTTGACGATATATATCGTCAAACAGAGTTTCTATTCGGATCTTCTTGGAAACAAAAGGAGTTGGGTTTGGGGTGTAAGGTTTGGTTTCATTCTATTATGAACTTGTGTCGCGATAAAGTGCTGGAAAGAGCATTTAATGTCTGAACATGAGAATGATATGTCGATCATAGGGACAATGGGCCTCATTCCAGCACTCAATACATGCGCAAAAGACAAAACATATGGCGGTGTATCTTTCCATGTTCTACCAAAAGATTCCTTCCACATTTTGCACATTTTTGCAGCGGTGGAGCGGGGTCCAATATCTTGGCCTGTCGTCTTCTGCTCAACGCCTTTATCTCCCATGTTTGTGGAGGATGTGAAGGGAGCGAGTGAGGATGGGGACGATAGGTGAATCAGGGAGGGTAGGGAGGGTAGGATGGGGAGGGGTTGGGATATCAGGCCCAATATATCCCAAGCCCACAAATATGCTGCAGGTTAACCAGCGCATTGGAACAAAGAGGCCGGGAAAGCGACTGGTGGTTTACTACGACAGAGCTTGAAATGCACTGGTGGTTTCATTTCGCACGGAATAATATTTGTGTCTGTCGAGTAGCGTTCCCTGATTGTTTCATTTCACACGGAATAATATTCGTGTCCGTGAAACTCCTGAACTCTATTCTTTTTTTTTCTTTTTTCTTTTTCCTTCTATTCTTAGTTTCTTTTAATGAATTGTTTCCTTGGCTGGGTCAGGGTCCCAGACTCCCAGGGACTTGCAATGCTGATGATGTTGTTTCATCTTTTGACTTTGAAGTTCCAACGTATTGCCATATTCGTTTGTTTGCATTCGTTCATTTCCGAAAAGCTTTACCTGCAGAACAACAGTGCTCCATTCTATTTTTAGAGAAAACTGCTTCCTCGACACAGGTTTACTTCCCCTCGCATCAACTTTTATAGAAGGTTTGAACCACCAGTACTTGACCCAGATATTGGACACGGGGAAAAAATAGAGTAGAAACGTTGCTAGTGGATGAATTTGGGCGCTCCTGAAGTGGCCGGTACGTTTCCTCAAATTGTGGCTTGTTACCGCTCTCCGAACGCCAACATTTCAAATGTATTGGGATGAAAACCTGGTGGAGATGCATGCGAAATGTTGGTGTTTGGCGAGTGGTGTGGCGAGCGCCTAATTGTTTCTTTGTGGTGGTGTTGTGCTTGTTCCGACGGTTTGCCCAGTCTTTTTCTCTTACAATGTTTCAGACAATTTTGGACGGTTTCTGACCATTTCTGACCACAAATCGACTTGCAGGAGCTGCTGCTTCTTGTTCTTCCACTGATAAGCATGGCTTCAATAAAGAATGCGATTGCGTCGCCATTTTCCTCAATGTTCAAGTCAGATAGCACTGGCATTCCTGATGATGCGTGCAGCATCTGCAAAACGCAGCCCGTGACGCTGCCTTTTCGAAGTCTTCCGTGCGACCACTTGTTTTGTTACTATTGCCTTCGTGTGCGACTGGAGTCCGGAGATGGTTTCAAGTGCCCCAGATGTACCAAGCCTATCACCGCAATGATGAGGCAGGGACGCAAAGGAGCAGACACGTCGCAGTCGACCTCTACAGCAGTCCCATCGACGCCGCTACCTTCATCCATGTCATCGACATCTTCGTCATCACGGACACCTACATATGATTGATGAGGAGATACCCATCTTGCAATCCATAGCTCAAGGTCTATGAAACCACGCGCGTTTTCCGTTCAGAATTTGAACGGTTTGAACGCCCCGTTCATTGAATGCGCCCGAACGCGGAGTTCTGTGCCTTGCGCGCTGCACTGCCTGGGGACCGACTGTGGGGGGCGGTTGAGGGTGTGGAGTGCGAACAGGACGCGTGGGAGTCGAGAAAATGGCCCCCGGAAAAAAAGGGCCTGCCAGCGGTGGAGGTGGGCATATGAGGGCGCGGTGCTGCGTTCGCGGACGGTATTGTACGTTCGCGCATGCCGTGAGAGAGAGAGAGAGAGAGAGAGAGAGAGAGAGAGAGAGAGAGAGAGAGAGAGAGAGAGAGAGAGAGAGAGAGAGAGAGAGGCACGGCACCACCGGAGCAGCAGAGCCTGAAGCGGAGCGGCGGCGACGACGGATTGGCGACCAACCCTCAACCCCACACCTTCAGCCCTCAACCCCACACTCCCAACCGTCAACCCCACACCACCAACCCTCCACCCTACACCCCCAACCCTCAACCCCACACCCCCAACCCTCATCCCCACACCCCCAACCCTCAAACCCCACGCCCCAACCCTCAACGCCACACCCCCAACCCCCTCACCCTGCCACCCCGAAGCCCACACTACCACCCCCCCCCCAAATCGCATGAAGGGAGTGCCCCCCCCCGCAGCCCCCATCCAGCATGCCACGCTGGCATGGGAGCTTTCATTTTTTTTCCGCGCGCTGCCACGCGGTGCGTTTAAATGCGTACGCGAACGCGCGTTCATCACGTTCATCACGTTCACCCGGCAACATAGCTCAAGGTTAGACCCAGGTAAGAGAAAAACGACGGGTTAGATTGAAGTTTGTTGCATACATTTTGGCCAGAGAGTGATGTAACATAGGGGGAAAGTACCGGATGATACGGCATTTGCTCTGTGCGTTTCGGAACCCACTCATTCAATCCTCTCAAGGGTATACTACTACTAAACTCACATGAGGACTTTTTTGCTTATTTCTGGACGTAATTACAGCCAGATACATCCATGTCTGGTGCTGAATACGGTCAGATACATAGAAGATAGTGCTATGGTGAGTATGCCCTTAGAATGGTATTAATCCTGAAACTCCATTTCGGAAAGGCAGAGAAGAGCAGCAGCTCTTTTGAAGAAGGAAATGGAGTGTGGAGGAAGGGTGGGGGCGGCGGGGGGGGGGGGGGGGGGGGGGGGGGGGGGGGTGGGAGCGGCGGAGGATGCTAGAAATGGAGTGTCTAGCTTTCTCTACTCTTTGATACAGCTCTACGTTGAGGCCAGATTGTAGAAACAAGCACTCTCCAAGTCGTGCGGGGATGGGGGGGTGGAGGGTGGGCAGTCCAACACATCTCTGAGAACGAAATGCGCAAAGAGAGAAATCTGGTGGTAGCTGTCGCGATGTGCAAGGAAGGCACGATCTGGTCGAAGATGAAGCGACGGCTATACAAAATGCAGATGTTTGTACCTGACTACAGTTTGGAGTGGAGCACCTCTTTACCTACATTTCGCCTCCCGCCGACTACGCTCCCATCCACAGTCGCAATTACCATTCGTCCTGCTGTAATGAGGACATAAGACAGCGATCGCAATTGCAATCGAATGGACATGTACATCCTCGCCCGCACGGCGGCACCATTCACCATGTGTATGCAGGAGAACCGGTGGCGGCGGTTTCCACACGGGCTGTTCACAGATGTGTGCGATGAGAAGATCGTGTTGCGCACAGGAACATGTTCGATACCTTCAGTGTTTGCGTGCCTCGCTTAAACCACGAGTACATCGGGGCCTGGACGCTCCGCACTGCGCACCAAGATTTGCGGAATCGCCAGCCGTGCACTTTTTGTGGTTTGTGGCAGGAGGCCGCCAGCCATTGTGGTCGGGGTAGCCCCGGCGCTCCAAAATTTAGGAGCCATGGAGAGATCTTGCAAGGCTGTGCCGTGTACTGGCAGTTTATTAAACCACCAGTACATGGCCCCAGGCAACTGGGGAATCTGTTTTGAGCCTCTCCAAAAATTTAGGAGGCCGAGCGCCATAGATAAAATGAATCGACGGCAGGAGGCCTCCGAAAGGGGCCAATGGTGAAGGAATGACCTTATGCAGCTCCTCCTCTCTGCGATTAGCATGAGTTGTCTGGAGTATGAAGTCGGGACGTAAAAAGGGAAGTCAAGAAACCAAGGCTAAGAGAGGGGAGTGTTTGGGAGGGAGGGAGTAGTAGGTGTGCTGGACTGACTGTGTTGAAGTAGGTTCCCTGATGTGGTTTGATGGGAGATTTAGCAGTGTGTAGTGGCCGATTAAGGTTCAGTTGTCCATGTGACAAAAGTCACTTATCTGCTTTGCCTTTTCTATCGTAAATAGTTTGTTTTTAAAATGTAAATTAAAAAATTTCTCACTCACAACGTTATTTTGTTTTGTCCATAGATAGATAGAGAGTGTGAATTTCTCACGACTTCAAAGAAAAAAAGGGGAATTTTTTTCAAAAAAATAAACAAAATGTTTTTTTTGAAATTCCTTACGACTTTTTAATCCTGATTGCTTTGTTGAAGTTGTTAAGCCACCACTGTGTCCCCAACACCTCAACAACGTGTGTGTGACATTGGGCCCGCTCGGCTGGTAGGCTCGGCCGTGGGTGGTCGATCGGGGCCCGGCCATGGGTGGTCGATAGGGGCTCGGCCATGGGTGGTCGATAGGGGCTCGGCCGTGGGTGGTTGATKGGCTTGGCCATGGGTGGTCGATAGGGGCTCGGCCGTGGGTGGTTGATTGGCTCGGCCGTGGGTGGTCGATAGGGGCTCGGCCGTGGGTGGTTGATTGGCTTGGCCATGGGTGGTCGATAGGCTTTCGGCTGTGGGTGGTTGATTAGCTTGGCCATGGGTGGTCGAAAGGCTCGGCCGTGGGTGGTTGATAGGCCCAGCGATGGGTGGTCGATAGGCCCAGCGATGGGTGGTCGATAGGCCCAGCGATGGGTGGTCGATTGCTTTTCGGAAAATGTGGAGTGTGCAACGTTGGGCTCGCTTGGCTGGTAGGCTTGGCCATGGGTGGTCGGTGGCTTTTCAGAAAATGCGGAGAGCGCGCTGTAACCGGGAGTTCATTGAACACGGGTTCAGCGTTCAAGAACAGAACGCTTTGAACATGCGTTTTTAACTTTTTACCATCTGAACGGTTTTGTGCAGGGTGGGAGTCGGGGGGGTGGTGGGGATTGCTTGGCACGGGTGGGGGCGTGGGGGGGTTGCAAAGGGGTGCGGGCACACCCCCCATGCGTGTAAAAAAAAAAAAAAGCAAGGGAAACATACGAAGATTCTCGGGGGGCACCTGAGCGTGATGCCCGGGGGGGTCTGACGTCCGGGGTAATCGGGTGTGAACCGACAGTCTGTAGAGTTTTCCATCTGGTGTGGGTGAGTGATAGTCTGCTTTGATTTTCATCACGGGTACCTTGAGGGCAATGGTTGGTGTCCACCTCAGGGTATCAGTTGTCGGGCAGTCGTTGATGCTTAACCACAGCCGGGGTTAAGGTGGATTATCACTTGCAGTGTGATCAGTTAGGGGATTCTGCAGACTGTCCTCTTCTCCCTCTCTCTGCCTACGGTTTACCGGGCAGCTCTGTTTGACTATATAATATATATTATATATATTGCATACTCTGTTTGACGATATATATAGTCATATGTCGTCAAACAGAGCTGCCCAGTAAATCGTAGGCAGAGAGGGAGGGAGAAGGAGAAGAGGACAACGAACGAGGGGCTGTGACAAACTGTTGCGTTGGAGTTTCACCAACCCATCAGGAGGCTGAACCCTATGATACATATATATTACAAGGGTACCTGTTGCGGCTTCGCTCGCAAAGGAAAAGGGGTGAAAATGGAAAGATGCATGGAGAACGTTTTTTGGGGCTTCGGGTTGATGTGGATTTGAGGCTCACCTGTGCTGTCGATTGCCTCCTTTTTTGTTGTTATTTTACATTACACACACACACACACACACACACACACACACACACACACACACACACAC